GGGGCTGTAGACAACACTCAGCCTGACCCTGGGACTGGAACAGTGTGTAACACAGCAAATGCTACCCCCTAGTGGTGAGGGGCAGCCTAAGGAGAAAGTGGTGCCTGTAGCAGGAACAAGTCAGTAACCAGAGGAGATAGATTGGAGAGAATTGGAGAAAGAACCAGAGGGGAGACAAGAATCTTCCTGCAGCCCCACCCCCACGCAGCACACTGTTTACAATCTGAAACATACTGCTTTGAAAGGGGAGTGGAAGCAGACTCAATATAAATTTGTAGAAGCAAATTGGGAAAACACTGAAAGGGTAAAGATTTGCAGGAGTATGGTGACAGAGATCAGATGGGAGTGGGATTAATTAGCCAGCCCCTTCTGTGGGGTCAGGCTGGATGGGCCAAATGGCCTCCTCCAGTGCTGAGAGATTCTTTTCCTTTAATTACTCGGGTTTCTGAATGTGACAAAAAGAAAACACAACAAACCGGTCCATTAGAAAAACATATCAGTCTTGTTAGTTTTCAGTAAAACCAGAGCTCACCAAAGCACTTATTCCTGTCACATCTCCTTCTCGGGTAGCAGTCAACAGCAACTCTTCTGATTTCCTCTGTTGTGTTATTTCAGCAGCTGTTTTTTTCACAAAGAAGAAAAATGAGTTTAAAGAATTGAAATAAAGGGGCCAGGTCAGATTCAGATTGACAATGAGTCTGAATTTCTTCTGATAACCAACCTTCACCTTTCCCTGCCTAATGGTGTATGCAGTTAATTCTCTTAAGACACAGAAGTAGGAGTAAAGCTTAGAGAAACTGATGGATTTTGGGGGTGCTTGTCCACAGATCACTGAAGGTGGCAGGACATGGTAATTAATCAGGTAGTGAAGGTGATGGATGGGCTACCTGCCTTTAGTAGTCACAGCATGGACGGGTTATGTTGAAGCTGTACAGAACTTTGGTGAGGTCACAGCTGGAGTACTGTGTTCAGTTCTGGACACCACACCATTGGAAGGGTTTGATTGCACTAGATACAGTGCAGAGGAGATTCACCAGGATGTTGTCTAGGATAGAACATTGCAGCGATGGAGAGAGGCTGGAGAAGGTCAAGTTGTTTTCTTTAGAGCAGAGCAGGTGGAGGAGAGGGGGATCCCAACAGGGGGTATATAAGATTACGGGGAGCACGGAGAAGGTAAACACAAATCAGTTGTTCCCCTTTAGTGAAAGGGACAATACCAAAAGGGACATCATTTTAAAGTGAAAGGCACAGGTTTAATGAGATTTGAGGAAAATGTTTTCACCCAGAGGGTAGCGGGGTCTGGAATGAACTGCCTGGGAGGGTAGTTGAGGCAGGAAACCTCACACCTTTTAAAAAGGTACTTGGACGAGCACTTGAAGTGTCAGAACATTCAGTGCTATGGGCCCGGTGTGGGAAAGTGGGGCTAGTGTGGGTAGTATTTTTGACAGTACAGACCCGATGGGTTGAAGGGCCTCTTCTGCGCTGTTTGATTCTAGGAGTTGGCCAGTCTACAAGATCAAGGCTGAACAGGGGGTGGTCTCAGTTCCATGTTTCCGTCTGCACACACACCCCCAAAAACATAATCTGAGCCCCTTGTCCATCAGCCTTGAATAATTTAAAGATCCAGTCTCCTCTGCTTTCTGAGGAAGAGAATGCCACCATCTAACAACACACTGAGAAACTAAAAAGTCTCATCTGTCTTGGCAGGGAGATATTTTATTCTTAAATGATGGCCCTTAGCCTCAGTCCCCTTCTTAAGGGGAATGGTTCTCTCAAGGGGCAGCCCCTCACAATCTTCACCGCTGGCTAAACGCCATTCGATACAGACCTCACATGTTCAACCTTTCCTCATCACAACAACCCTCTCCATTCCAGAACTGAGCTGAGTGACCTTCTCTGGACTTCCTCAACTATAATTACACCATTTCTCCAGTAAGGAGACCAAACTTTTACACAGTGCTCCAGATGGGGTCTCACCAACATCCTGTACAGTTGTAAAAGTTGCCTACTTTTATGTTCCATTCCCTTTACAATAAAGAACATTCCAACTACCTTTCTCATCACCTGCTGTGCCTGGATACTAACTTTCAAGATGTGTTTAGGACAGAATTGCATTGAACAGCATCAGCAGAGATAGCTCCCACGCATCTACTGCACTCTCCTGGCCAATGATAGGACAGGAGTACGAAGGAGAAGATAATTGTTTTTTACATTTCTGCTTTTGCCTGAAGTTTATAGAGCTGAACTAGGCCACTCAGCCCCTCTAGCCTGTACCGCCATTCAATAAAATCAGGCCACTCAGCCCCTCCAGCCTGTACTGTCATCCAATAAGCTCAAGGCTGATCCAATTACTCTACATGTGTTCCCACCCTCTGACAAACCTTCTTGCCCTTATTCATCTGGATAAGAACCTTCATTGTGCTGAATTCAGTAGCATAGCGACCACACACTCTCTCTCTCTCACAAGCTGTGCATCTCTCAAACAAATGTCTACAGCATCTCCAATCAGACTGTCTGTTGCGAACTCTCTCGGGACAAACGTTATCGAGGTGGTCACTGCAACTGATGTAAGGACAGCCTGAAAAAGAAACAGCCAGACCACCTCTCTTGGGAAAGCTCCCAGATGTCGTTAGACCATCAATGCTAAGAATGCAACACACCATGTGCCTAGAGGAAGGTTACAAGTGGCACAGCTGCCAAGGCTTCGTTAAGCACAAATCTCCAACTCATTCTAAACTTCACCATTCAAACTTTAATTCATCCACTGCATTTACCTTCCAACCGCCAAGGTCAAGCTTTTTCCTAAAATTATTTACAGCCATCCTCAGCTTAGCACAGCGTCAGCCATGACTCCTCACCTTGAAGTCTGAAGGGTTTCCTTGAGCCCATTATCCAGTCTGGCACACCCACTGCTGTACTGTCAGAAGTGCCACCTTACAGAGCAGAATGTGCCCGTCATCTCCTGCCGTGGATGTAAAGGGCACCAGGAGGCTATTCTGAAGACGAGCAAGGCAGTTCTCCCCAGCGTCCCTTAATCAACTTCAAACAGTTTTTCTGCCTGTTACTTTTGGTGGGATCTTGCTGATCACTTTCAGCATCTCCTACTTACAGAGTGCCTCACTGGCTGCTGCAAAGCACATCATGAGACCATGGCAGGTGCTAAATAAATGCAAGCGTTTCTTTGTACTTGTTCCTACCTCCCAGCATGCATCGGATTTCCTGGTCCTGAGTTACAGCCCTCGGGGTTTGTCCATCTCCGTTGATGACAGCAGCGTCAGCATCAAACTGCAGAAGCAGCAGAACAAGCTCCTGGAAAACACAACAGCTCCCCCCTCAGAGCACATACAGGAACAGCGACACACCTCACTCCTCAGGACCATCCCACCTCAACCTTAGGAACAATCAAAAATTACAACTCACATTCATATAGTTAGTTAAAAGTCAAAAGGAGGGTTAGCAAACGAGAAAGAGACACAGGGAGAGAAAGAGATGCATGCACATGTGCACAGAGACATGCACACACACAGATATAGACAGTTGTAAAAGTCAAGGAAGCAGACAGGTAGGGGAGAGAGAGAGGCAGACAGAGAGAGCGCGCAAGAGTGAGACAGACATATGGAGGGGTTGGTGAGAGAGGGGGTGGAACGGCCAGACGGGGAGGGAGGGGGAGATGAATAAATGGGGAGGGAAGGGGGACAGACGGAGAGACACCACCAACGATAGACTGATTTTCTCTTTTTTTCACAAAAATAGAAATTGCTGGGAAAACTCAGGTGTGGCATAATATGTGGAGAGAGATCAGAGTTAACGTTTCCGGTCCAGTGATCCTCCTTCAGAACTGACAGAAAAGGTTGACTTTTAATGCAGAAGATAGGGTGGGAAGGGAGGGGATAAGGACTAACGATAAATGTAGATGGAGCCCAAAGAGACAGAAGGACAGTTGGACAAAGGAGTGGATAACGGTCAGCCTGGGAGAATGAATAGCTGCTAATGGGGACTATTTGTGGCTAACAGTGTGTAATAGCAAGCCATGTGTTAACAAGGCCTGGTGTGTGGGGATTGGGGTATGTACATGGGAGAAGGTGCCTCAAAGCCTAAAATCGTTGAACCCGATATTGAGTTCGGAAGGCTGTAGAGTTCCCAAGTGGAAAATGAGGTGCTGTTATTCCAGCTTGTGCTGAGCTTCACTGGAGCACTGCAGCAAGCCTGTGACAGAGAGACTGGCCAGGGAACAGGGTGATGTGCTGAAGTGGCTGGGAGGGGAACATGCAGGGAAGTGGTGTTCCCATTTATCTGCTGTGCTTGTCCTTCTGGATGGATGCGATGGTGGGTTTGGAAGGCACTGTTTAAAGAGCCTTGGTGAATATCTGTACAGCATCTTGCAGATGGTACACATTGCTGTGACTGAGCATCGGTGGTGGAGGGAGTGGATGTTTGTGCATGTGCTGCCAATCAAGCAGCTGCTTTGTCCTGGATGGTGTCAAGCTTCTTGAGTGTTGTTGGGGCTGCACCCATCCAGGCAAGTAGGGAGTATTCCATCACACTCCTGACTTGTGCCTTGTAGATGGTGGACAGGCTTTGGGGAGTCCGGAGGTGGGTCATTCATTGTGGAACCCTTAGGAATATCAACGTATAGGGCATAGAGTATCAAAATTGGCAAGTCTTGTTGCAGCTGTTAGAATTTTAGTCAGGCGACATTTGAAATATTGTGCAGAGCTGGATGAACACAGCAGGCCAAGCAGCATCATAGGAGCAGGAAAGCTGACGTTTCGGGCCGGGACCCTTCATCAGAAAAGGGGGAGGGGAAGGGAGTTTTGAAATAAATAGGGAGAGAGTGGGAGGCGGAAAGAAGAGGGATAGAGGAGAGGATAGGTGGAGAGGAAACAAACAGGTCGAAGAGGCGGGGATGGAGCCAGTAAAGGT